TGGAGATGATTTTCATCAAGTAAAGGTTTTAATGTTAGCTCCTACTGGTAAAGCAGCCTATAATATCAAAGGCAACACAATACATAGTGCTCTTGCAATACCAGCCTGTCAATCTTTGAAAGACTATAAGCCACTGGATTCTAGTAGACTAAATACTCTCAGGTGCCAGCTGGGAGGTGTGAAACTGATATACATAGATGAGATATCAATGGTAGGAAATACCATGTTTAATGTACAAATCAACAATAGACTTAAAGATATAAAAGGTAGTAAGGATGACTTTGGAGGTATCAGTATAATTGCTATTGGTGATTTATTTCAACTTCAGCCTGTCATGGATGGCTATATATTTAAAGATTTAGACAACTCAGAATACAGCATCCTTGCTCCAAACCTATGGCAAAAACATTTTAAAATGTTCGAGCTACATGAAATTATGAGACAGAGAGAAAGCAAATTATTTGCTGAAATCTTGAACAGATTAAGAGAAGGCATCCATACAATTGACGACATTCTGAAACTTAAAGAAAGAATGTTTGATGAAAAAAAAGTGACCTCAACTTCCTAATGGATATTCCTCATCTTTTATACAAAACAAAAAGGTAAATGATTTCAATGAAAAGGTGCACCAAGCAGCAAAAGGCAGAAAGTACTCTATTAAATCGCAAGATAGTGTAATAGGAGCAAGCTGTTCAGAGCTTAGGGATAAAATAATGAAGCAGATACCTGATGACCCAAGGAAAACAAAACAAATTGTCTCTAATCTTCATGTAGCTGAAGGTGAAAAAGAACAGAATTAGCAATGAATATAAGAACTGAAGATGGCATGACAAATGGTGCTGGAAATGTTGTTAAAAAGTACAATTACATCAGAAAAACAAACCATCTGGTATAATATGGGTACAGTTTGATCATGCTGATGTAGGGGGAAAAACTAGATGTGATAATAAGCACTTGTATGCACAGGGTATAGAAACTACTTGGACACCTATCAAACCAATTACTACACAATTTGCTGTAGGAAGAAATAGAACAGCTCAAGTTGTGAGGAAACAATTCCCTCTGAGGCCTGCTGCTGCTAAAACTATTCACAGATCACAAGGTGACACTGAGAGTAGAATAGTTGTTAACTTTGATACTAAAAAGGCAATACCTCACATACATTATGTGGGTCTTAGCAGAGTTAAAACCATAGAAGGATTACATATAACTAATCTTTGTGAAAAGAAAATAGCTGTCAGTCCTGATGTACAAACAGAAATGAGACGGTTACGAAATTCAGGTCTAAGTCTGTCAGTATCTCCTCTTTATAGTAAAAGTCCACTTTCTTTAAAAATATGCTATCTTAATGCAAGGTCATTACACAAACATATAGATGATATACGTAAAGATCTCAACTACTCAAACACTGACATAAGCATTTTTTCAGAAACAAGATTTACTCATTCAGATCATGATAGCATGTATGCCATTGATGGATATAGTTTGTTTAGAAATGACTGTGACTCTAATAACACTACAAGACCGTTTGGAGGTACAGCAGTATACAGCAGAATCAATTAATTCCTGGCTCTCCTTATTGTTTAAATAGGAATGGTGTTGAGCTGACTATCATTAAATGCATGTATCTACCTCATCTCACCATTATTGGTGTGTATCGATCCCCAAAAAGTGCCAGTAACACAATTGTGTATTGCATTAAGACAGGTACTTTTACATACAACTACACAGTACAATATTTTCCTTGGAGATTTTAATGTAAACTGGTTAAATCAAACTGATAGAGTTCCATTATATAATCTATTTATTACAGAAAATAACTACAGACAGTTAGTATCTTTGTATACCACTGACAGCAAAACAGCTATAGACCACATTTATACTAACCTGCCAGAATCTCAGGCAAAGTTACACTTGTTAGAAACTTATTTTTCAGACCACAAAACAATATGTGCGTTAATAAACTATGTCAATACAGAAACATAACTTCAATTCAAACTTTTCTTGCCTGTTATACAGATAAGGACACAACCACACCTAGATGTAATACAATCCATACTAAAAGATGACTACATAATCATAATAATCACTACAAAGATTCAGTAATTTCTATAACTCCTTCATCCCTGTACCCTCCCTCTCCCTAACAGTAATCATCAGGTAAATATCCACTATATTTCAGTAATTATATACTCAAAGGATTGGTTTAGCTTATATTGTGTCCTTTATTTTTATAGGCAATAATCCTTTATTTATTAATAGTCTTCTCTTTTTTTTCAGTCATGGATGATTTCTCAAAGCAAACAGCTACTCACAGCACTGGTGCTCCTTCTTCAAGTCAAGAATTTGTGGGATACATACATAATGTTTCTGCTGTGTATAACTAAAAGTTTTTTCAATGCCAGTTGCAAGGGAGGGATGAATCAGTTACCCGAGCCGTGTGCTTCTCACCAAGTAAGCGCAAGATTTTTGCAGACTTTCAGGACAAGAAGAGCCCCATAAAAATTAAAAGGTTCAAAGTAGACACCAATGCAAACACCAGTGATCTGTTGATGGGACATGATGTCATAGTCGAACACTATCCAGAACTGGACTTCCAAAGATCACAAATACAATCTTCAACCACCCTTTTGTCAGTCAAATCTGTTCGAGTTGGCCAGCATATAACTGTAAAGGCCAAACTAACCAACATGTCCAAACAGCAAAAAGCAGGAGATTTAACTCTTGTGAACTGTATTCTGCTTGACCCTACAGCTTCAATGAAAATGGTATTGTGGGAGAATTTTATTAACCAAGTGGAAAACAACCGAACATATATCTTCCACAATGTAACTGTACGAAAGGACAAATACAATGAAACCATTTACTTAAACACTGCTAAATATGGCACTGAAATCAGACTCACAGAAGATTTTACTGAAATCCTAGCTGTGCCACTAACTCAGGACACTACACAATTTGTATCCACAACCGTCGAAGGAGAAATAATGGGAATAGTTTCCATCAACTCGTACTTCTCTTGCTTTAAGTGTAAAAAGAAACTAGAGCAATCTACTGGAGCAGCATATTTGGAGTGCAAAAAAATTGTCACATGAAGCAAAAAACTTAAACCTGCATCTCAACACTGGTATGCTCAGGTAATGGTACAGTTCTCTGATGAGAAGTCCCTAGAACTAACATTGTTTGAGGAGCCAATCAAGCAGATACTGGCAATTCAAAACCAAAAAAGCCAGCCAACATTAACTCGGGACATTCTCACAAACAGTTTATTAAATCTTCCAGCAGTAAACTTCACATACAACACAACAACCAAAGTAGTCCTCAAGATTGCCCAAAAGGAGTAACTAACATGTAATTAACACATTTTGGTTAACATAGAAGTATATACTCTAGGATGTACACGTAGTTACATCTATCATTGCAGTTCTGTTTCGTTGAATTTTATTAGTACTGAGAATTGCTACAAAAACCAGTTTGGTTAACACAGTAGTATATACTCTAGGATGTACATGTAGTTACATCTATCATTGCAGTTCTGTTTCGTTGAATTTTATTAGTACTGAGAATTGCTACAAAAACCAGTTTGGTTAACACAGTAGTATATAATCTAGGATGTACATCTAGTTACATCTATCATTACAGTTCTGTTAAGTTTTGCTAGTACTGAGAATTGCTACAAAACCAAAAAAACGGGTTTGGGTTAACATAATAGTAAGTTAAGAATTGCTACAAAAAAATAAACACGTTTTGGTTAACATAACAGTTCATACTCTAGGATGTACACATGTAGTTACATCTAAGATTGAAGTTCTGTTTAGTCACGTCACCACTGAAAATTGATACAAAAACCAGTTTTACAAAAAAAAACAAGTTAAAATTGTTCACTTAAACATAATTCTAAAACAATGACGTGCAAACTACTGTTTACTATTCTTGTTTGTAATAACTCATGTTTCATACGTTTATTAAAATCTTTAAATTTAAAAAGTTTTCATTTGCCAATCATTGAGTCCTATTTTTTATAACAAACCAAGTCCATATTAACCTCTTGACTGCCTGCCAACATCTTTTCATATCCCTGTGCCAAGGCTCAGCAGACAGACACGCTTTACCTTACCTTCATCGTCTCATCATCATCATCAACTTTATTTGTTTAAGCAAGTTGTTATATTCGAGGTAAATAAAATCAAAATTTCAATCATCATACAGCTTCACAAAGCTTGCCATGATCGCTCGATATTCACCGTTTTCAATACATTACTATCCAAAGAACAGCCTATTTAAAACAATTATACTTTTAATACCTTTTCTTCTTCAGCAGTAGTCACATGCGCCAACAAGGCGCCTATTTTTTTTCCTGTCGACCCTTACTCTGTATCAGTGTTTTGCTTTCATGGTACACATTTGTGGACACAAACCAACAATATTTAAAGGCATTTTTTGTTAGCACCAAAATTCAAATCTGCCCACATTACTTCTATTAAAGGGTGCTTGGAGCACCGCATTGTCCCATCAATGTATTTTGGTGGAGTTTTGCCTGTCCTCTTCCTAGCTCTACCATCTTTCGTGTGCATTAAGTTTGCATATTTAGCTTTTAAGGATAGTAGCAGACATAAAAGGGAGTGCAGGTGCACATCAAAGTCCATCAAAAGAGAACTGAATTAGAAATGCTATCCGGACTCTCTCGCACTTTTTATGGTATTGAAAAAATTGCATGGCGTAACTGTCAGTTGTTGGAGCTAACAAGAGTCATATAACAAAGTTTTCAGTCAAACAACATATACACCGCAAAATGATATTTTGTGATTTTTATACTGGTTAAAATTAATTTAACCTAGGTGGATTCTCAATTTCCTTTGTCTCCTAGTCCTAATTCATGAATAATTAGGGCTAGGAGACAAAGGAAGTATAGATTCAACCTTGGTTAAATTATAATTTTAACCTGAATTTAATTTTGACCTGTAACATATAGTACTTTACTTATGGCTCCATTTCTCTTTGGAAATTTGTTTTGGGAACTGTAGACCTACATGGTAAAATCTAGAATCTTTCTTGCAGCCTAAGAGTTAGTGCCCTTAATTCCTAGGCTGTTATTATTATAAAAGTATTGTTATTACAGTGAAACCTCTATTATGCGGACACTTAGTCTTTCGGGACCTTCACAAGTGTCTGTGTAATAGAGGGTGTCTGCTTAATAGAGGTTTGTAAAAATTGTGCAGTGTTTGTTAATGATTAACATTCAACGGTTACTCTGTAAGTTGTGATAACGTTCCATGTTGTTAGGGAAGCTGTACTGTGCTTTGTGCAAGACTTTTAGAGGAACATAGATCGCGGATGACAATAATACAGCTGGATATCGGTCTGATCTACTGTTTATTGACAGCTAAATTTATTGATTTATCTTTATTAATTGACTACAGTACATATTTGAAGGATAGAATCCAATATTACCATTGTCAATTCAGTCCCGTGTCCGCTTAATAGAGGTTTTTAACAATAGAAATTAGCCAAATACAATTTATTTTAGTGTCCACGTCGGCTTAGCAGAGGTGTCTGCTGAATAGGGGTTTGTTATAAAGGGAAATATAAGACATTAATTTCAGGACCCGGCTTAGTGTCCACTTAATAGAGGGTGTCCGTTTAATTGGGTGTCTGCTTAATAGAGCTTTCTTTAGCTGTATTGTTATTATCTATTATGATGAGTTTGCAGTGATAAATTTATTTTAATATTATTTTTTTATAGGCAAGAGATTCTCCAGATCCAGCCTTTGACGTATCCAAATGTGGAGCAACAGAGGTGACTTTGCCTACTGCATTGCTAATGATATATTTTCTCATGTTAAAACTTCAGTCAAGGGAGATTCAGCACTAAGGACCTTATTACAAAAGTACAGGAAGAATGTTGGCTGATAAATTCAAAAGTCTGGTCTAAAGAACAGTACTTAAAATGATCTAATAGACTCCTGGGGCATTTATTGTTTTGATTTTAAAGGTCCAAGAGGGGTTTTGTAGTAGGTAGGAGGCATTTTAAAGAGAGAGGGGTTTATTCTCATAACTGTAACAAGCTCAACGAAACTAATATGCTTTTGCTGAAAATACCAAGAGAGTTTAAAAATAGTAGAATATCCAGTCTATCTATTGAGATGTCGAGGCCATGTAGAGATCCATATTGCTCTTTCAAATCTCAATGTGTTGTCATTCTTAGTCTATCCTTACTTTGAACTTGGCATTGAACAAGATACAATGCACAAACTCTTATTAATCAGGAAATAAACTCAATAAATGGATTGATTTTACTCCTTTTTGCTTTTTCCTAGTATTTTGAAATTGTTGTCTATGGAGGGCATCTATTAGACAAGGGGTGTTTATTGCAGGGGATTGTCTAATATACACCTAACATTGTAAAGGGGGCATTCATTAGATTGAGTGTGGGTGTCTATTAGATCATTTACAGTATAGAACGTCAAGGTTAGTATCGTCTGATATCATAGGGGCTACGTCCTCTTAAATCTTAGTGGTGTAAAGATGTATTTGTTCAGTCACTCATTAAAAATTCATGTACAGTTGTTCAAAAGATGATTAACACTATCCACTGGACAACACAGTTGGTTCCACTAATACTTATCTGGTCCCAGTTGTTCAAAAGGTGGATAGCGCTATCCATGGGACAAATCTCTATCCACTGGATAGTACAATTGGTTTCTCTAAATACTTATCCACTGGATAGAGATTTATCAGGCCCCGGTTGTTCAAACGCCGGATAGCGCTATCCACCGGATAAATCACTATCCAGTGGATAGCGTAATCGATTTCTTTAACACTTATCCGCTGGATAGTGATTTATCCGGTGGATAGCGCTATCCAACGTTTTAACAACCGGGGCCTGGTGAATAGCGCTATCCAACTTTTGAACAACTGGGGCCTTTTGGATAGTGATTTATCCGGGGATAGTGCTATCCAAAGTTTGAACAACCATGGCCTGCAAACCATATAAATTTGTCCCGACAAATGGTCATCTTGGCCAGATATTGTCTGGTACCAGCCATTATTTTAAGCTTTCAATGATAGTAAAAGTAATGAGACTACTTTATCTTTATTGTTTTAGGTACCCAAAGGAGTTTACTCCTTATGCAGAGTACTTCAAAAAGAGGTAAAATGTTTTGGTTTGTGTTCTTAAATTGTGGTCACCCTTTGATAATTTAGAGTTTGAACAATTTAGTGATTAGCTCACAGTGTGACTGCTTGAACCAGTTTTGAAAAGAAGAGATTAAATCTGAAGTTTTTGGTAAGTAGGCCACATTATTGGGAGTACCCCTCCACCACCAACAAGGTTTTGGCTGTGCTTTTCGGCCGCACTAAGTCTTTCATACTGAGCATCATCAGGGTGAGAAAGAAGGCAGTCACAGTGGCAGCTAGGCTTTGAAATCTGGAGTGCCTGAATTCAGGTCCTGCTCTGACAGCTAGCTGATCGTTTCTCAGAAGTACTGCGTCCAGCTCCTCAATCACATCATGTCTTGTAAATAGCCAAGAGGGCTCTTCCTGAAAGCTGGAATCTTAATTAACCTTGTCATATTTAACTTGAATTATTTGTTTGACTTATTAATTGTGCTTGCATCCACTAGGTAAACTTTTATGCTATAATACTGTTGACGGTACATGACAGTCACTGATTGTTAATTTTTTGTTTTATGTATTGGTTAAATTTCACTTGGCATATTTTCTTTTAGGCTCTTCTATTGTATGATAATGCTTTAACAAATCTTAAGGGTGGAGGAGATCTAAAGGATCTTTCAAGTTTACGGGTGAGGAATTAAACGATGCTCAGTTTCTTGAAAACTAAAAATATTTAAGTAATAATTCCACTGAACTACTCAACTAATATTCTTCAATATTATTATTTGCCAGAGTAGATTGTGATGATAAATATAACAAATGAAAATCAGACAGTATTAACTATAGGCCTTTTGTCCGATCATCTCACAGAATTTATTCCTCTGGAGAGAATTTTATCTCAAAATGTATGGTTTGATAACTCAGCTTAAGATAAGTTACAGTTTGCACTAGGTGAACAAATTTTGCAAAATTTGAATTCTTAACAGGTGGAATGAGAGGATACTGTTACTAACAGTAGTTAATATAAGATTTGAATTATATTATTACTTTTTTCTTTTTTTGATGAGTGGTTGGGTTGTGCATACAGGTACAATGTAGGTTTATTCATTACAGTCACATTTCAAGCTCATGAAGAGGGTACATTCTACATGTATATTGTTTCAGCCTGTGCTGCAGGGTTTAGATTTTCATGACCATTTCCCTGTCTCACTTTTTGTGTTTTCTCTTAAGGGAGCTGAGGTTGACAGCTGTCCCAGACTTTTTTTGTCAAAGTATTATAAGAGAGGTTGGTTTTCCTATTTTCTTTTTGTTTTTATAGGTTTTAGATCTTCATGACAATTTTCTCGCTACTCTTCCAGCTGATATTGATCAACTGAAATCACTGCAGGTAAACTGTTAGTTTATATAAATTTTGATTTGTAATGTTAGGTACAGGTTGCTCACAAGAAGCTATAAACCATTTGGACATTCTTGAATTGTATGGTATACGTATACCCTTTCATTTAGGCTGAGGAAACAGCAGACACTTAGCAATGTCACCACTGGTTTTCCCATGAAATCAGGTTGAGGGATGAGCACAGAAATATCCATACTGATGATTTGTCACTAACCATGTCTGCGTATTTACTTCTGATTGGTGGAAGCAAATTTTCCCTCAAAGCATAACCAATCATAAGCACAAACCAAGCCTGAAAAGTAATACAACATCAGATGTGTGCGTAAAATTTCTGCGGTCATTTTGTGGGGAAACCAGTGGTTGCATAACAAAATGTCAGCTCTTTTATTGAACCATTGGATTACAGGACTAAGTTAATTCAAAGCACTGTTAGCTCCAATTCTACATTACCTGTAAAAAAAAAAAAATCAGTTGTTATGGTAACTTACATATTTGTATTTGCACCAAGCACTCCCTATAAATGACCATGCAAATATTATTTTGATTTGACATTTTGACACATGCTTGTATTTTCTTAAATCTTTCAGGTTTTAAATGTTCAAAACAACAAGCTCCGAGCTCTACCTGCGTCCGTTGGAAATTTAGCAGCCCTTCAAAGCTTAAACCTTCAAGGTATGTGTAGTATCCTGTGTTCATTGTTCTCCATCTCATCTCCCTTTTGTCTTACACTGACCACTGCCTTGAAAATCTGGGTTTTACAAAGGGCAATGTCCATTTGTCAGAACTGACTGGCTAGACCATTCCCATGACAGTGGCAATCAAAACTGTTTGGCCAGATGACAGTCAAATCCTAAATAGTATTCACAAAGGAGAACATTTTTTTTTTAGCAAAAACTCTTGGAAAAAGCCTATTTCATCTTCAAACTGACTGGTTGGGCAATGATCTGGCCAGCCAGTTCTGACAAATGGAAAGCCCACTTAGTTACATATTATATGCTCTAAATCATGTTAGGTTCCCTTCACACTGTAAGTGATAAAGTCTCGTAACTGGATTCACTATTTTACAGCTAAAGATACCCTGCGTAGCTGGTGGAATTGTTTATTTGTACGCGTGAGTGTTTTGACTGTGAAGCCGCCACCTCATCAAGAACGAGCACCAAAGGTGTCAGAAAATTACAAAGCATCTTGTCCCCATTCTCTGTGGCCTCGCAACTCCTATGCCTCAATGCGCACTTTGACAATCCTGCCAGCTATGCAAGCTAAGCTTAAAGTCCCCTAGCTGGTACAATTTTTTCCACTGGGTGAGTGAGTCATTTTCCCTTATATTTGCTTGAAATTTATGTCTTGAAAATAATGGTTTACTCTTCATACATGTACAATGAAATTTGCAATGTTACATATATTCTTCATAGTGGAACCACAATTTAAAGCAATTAATTTTGGTGGTGTAAATTTCTGGTGTTGATTTAAGTTTATGGTAGTGTTTCCCATTAATTTTTATAAGAGCTGTTGGTAGGAGTGAGTTTGTAAGAGCAACCAAATCAGTATTTTATGATTGTTATGTACAGGGAATGAACTTCGCTCTCTACCAGCTGAAATTGGAAATTTGAAAAGTCTGAGGACCCTAAATATTTCTGAGAACAGTAACCTTCCAGGAGTCCCTCCCACCTTGGCACATGTGAGAACTTTAGAGGTAAGACAGTGGACTGTCTAACAACTTCACATCAAAATGTTACCGTGATGTAGAGAAGAAACACAAACTTTTTTCTAACACACCAGTAGCTTTTCCAAACTAACCTTTCTTTATCTTATATAGATTTATCTTTGGGTTTCTTCTGATCAGGGCTTAAATGTACACTAGATATGAATCCTGTTGTGCATGTTAGACAGCTTTTTTTATTTCTCATTTCTTCCACATCTCAGTGAGCTTTAACGATTTGGCACTTTCAAGTTTTCTACTGCCAGTTGGCCATTAATATGAACTCCTAAGAGCGTGCAGTATATGTACTCCATCTTGGAGAACCCTTTAAGAGTTATTAAAAAAGTAGTGTGTGCTTCAGTTATACGTTTTGTTTTCCTTTTATAATTCCATTTTGTTTCATGGTAAAGCATGCTCTACCCTTTCAAGTGACTTGCTTACATACATTTGGATTGTACAACTTAAACTGGTTTCCTTACAGTGTGCATGTAACTTTGATGGATGTCTTAAGCAATGGAACATGTCATATTATCTCTACTTGATATTAATATTTGCTTGTATTTATTTTCAGACAATTATCCTTGATACAGACAAGATCAGTTTTCCCCCTAAAGGTAACTGGTAATGAGAGGATACTGAATTAAATGCTTAACTGAAACATATTATGGATCACAAGGATCATTTTAACATTATTTATTTTTTTTATTCATCATTTTCTTTTAGATGTATCATCAGAAGGAACTGCATCAATTATGAAATATCTCTGTAAAGGTAAATAATCTTGAATTACTTTATTGCAGCTGATCCTGTTCATCCCTTTTCTAAAATGAAATACTGTCCTCTTTTTGGTTTGCCACAGATAATTTTATTTACATTTTACTGTTCTTTGGTTACTGACATGACTAATCAATGACTTTGCTAACTTGTATTTTTCTCTCTAAAAGTGGCTGGAATTGAATATGTTCCTCCATCCAAACACTTGTTACCTGTGTTAGGTATGTGGTCTTTCATTTCATCACCATTGTTGTTCTGCGTTTTAATGCACAATCTCTTCTGACTGAAAGACCCTGCTTTCATGTTTTTTCAACTTTTGAGTGGGACCAGGTAGCGAAAATGGATCGACACATGTGGAAAGAACATCTTGTAATCAGTTAAGTTGCCAAGTTTGAAAGTTATTTGTCGAAAACCAACAGAGATATAGCTCCCTAAAGTCAGGGAATTTTACAGAAATTTGTAATTTTGAATATTAATTTGAATATTCTCTTACTGCTCTTTATCAAAAGTTCGAAAAAAGCATAGGAGGGTCTATTGATTGTTGTCTCTGGATTTATTGTTTTGTGTTCAGATGTCAATCAAGGTTTTGCACGCAATTTGAAAACCCTTGAATTTCAGGAGCCCAGTTTCAAGGCCTTGAAAGTTTTTTATTTAGGTTTTTTTTTTAAGTTTGTGATTTTTTCTTAAAATTATCAAAATCTTTAACGCTTTGATTTGAACTAAGTTTTAAAGTAGAAAGTGCAAATGCAAAAACAATATAATGCCTACAAAATAAACGTGTAAAACGCTCGTTTGTTTTTTCTCAGGACTCTCTTCCGTTACTCTTGTGTACATGAATACGTTAAGCCACAGGAGCACTGCGCATGCCCATGGCCTGCATGTGTCTTCATAACTGACACAAACAATGGCCCTGGAAAGTCCATAATTTTTGGCCTGAAAAAGTGTTCCTCTGATAGTGATTTTGTACCACTAGTCCAGTTGGTGGTCTCCTCACAGAATGATTGTCATATTTTCTGTAGATCCAGTAAGAAATGGATCATCACCAACTAAAATGTGGGGCCCTGTACCAGTTGATGAACTTGTTGCTGTAAGTTATTTTTTAAATTAACTTTTCGCCCAGGATATTGTATTTTGTAAGAATGTAAGATAAGCCTTTTGACCAGTATCCTTATGTGCTACAAGCAGTTGCAAAATAGTTCAGACACCATTGGATGACTGGGGAGGGGAAAGGATTCATGCAATAAATGGATTTGATAATATCACTTTAGACTAAAAACGTCACTGAATCTCAAGCCTTTCTGTAACTTGTTACAGTATTGTCAGATGGTACTGTCTCCTCCTTTCATTAATCAACTCACTTGTTCATTCCATGTCCTGCAAACATCCCATTTTTTTTTAAATCGGGCATGTGCTTCCCAAAAGGCAGAACTGGCCAGTTGGACTGGTTATTTTGTTAAAATGGTAAACCAGTATGCAAAGAATGTAATGTGTCCGATAGCCTGGGCTCGTGGATTTTGCAATCAGTGCAGTAAATTCTGTTCTTAACATTCCTGACGACTAGTGAGTTTTGGGTGGTTATTTTTGTATTGTAAATGTAAATGTAATGTAAATGTAAATGTAAATGTCGCGATTGAGAGGACAAACATACATGTCCTCTTTACATAGCTTTTTGCAGTGGGCTCGGACATCAGCATACTAAGGGCGCCGATGGCAGCCGCTATCAGTCCATTTATGAGCCCACTGAACCCTCCCAACCCATGATGAGTGATGATGTAAGTGATGAAGATAGACCACAACACCGGGAACTACGTCCCCTACTCTTTTCGAATAGTGTGTGGGTTCTTTAACGTCCCACAGTATCGCTAAGTCCCCTTATTTCGTATGCTACATCTTGAAAGAATAGTGAAAAGTGAAAAGAGGTTTTTAATGACATCTTTTTTACAGCAAGTGTAGTACTAAAATTAATTTTATGTATTGTAACGTTTGTTGAAAAAAGCAAGTCAAACCTTGTCAGAATGGTAGCCTCATGGAAACAAAGTAACTGGTAATGAGAGCTATCTACATCTGTTCACTAAGGGAACTCTGTCTTAGGTCAAAATATATCCTGATTTATTCCATCGTGTTTAAGACTTCACAGTACTGCTCCGTATGGTTGATTTTATTTCAAAAGTAAAACATTTTTATTTCAGAATACTTTATCACAGCATGAACAAGAAAAGGTTTGCATGTTGATTTTGTTTCTCTCACTTTCATTTTTCCTTATTCAGCTTTAATTTTCAGTTTTTCATATTGTGTTTAACAATACCACATTACTTTTATTAACCACAAACTCATGTCACAAAATGGACATTTCTGTTATTCAATCTTCACCTATTTTGTTGCAATGGGTTGGTTCCCATAGAACCGGTATTTAACGAGAAGCATGCCATCTAATTCCCCACAGAATTATCTTTAATATTGTTGCCATTGTCTAAGGAACTGTTTCATTGACCTTTGGGTCAGATTTCTTCTAATGTGACTCTTCAGTTTTGCTTTTTTCAAAAGTCTTGAAGACCTTTTAGAACTGATAGCTTCTTTCCAATAATAGCTACAAGTTCTTGTTTGTTGGAGATCAACTCATACCAGTTGTTACCATTGAGAACTGGCCAGTGAAATTTCCTGAAACCCCGGGCGGTGTACTGCTGTGTCAAACCCTTCACCTGTTTAAGGATGTGGAAAAAGAACCGTAACCCTGTTTAAGGCCCAAATCTGAAAATGAGTCTTAATTTAATGGAAAAACAAAAACTAAGAATTAACAGAAAGACACAAATCTTCCTTAAATAGCTTTCCTAATACTCTATAAAGGTAAAGTTTAGTTTTAACAGATGATTTGTTTCTTGTGTAGCTGGGTATTTAGGCACTTGAATTTTAGCAGATATAATAACAGTACGCTTTCTAAAGATAACACCTGGGTTACAACGCTAACAAGGGTGAAAATGATACCCTCAAAAACCATACCCAATTGGGCGTTACATATTATGTGCCTACCTAGCCCATAAATTGGAGGACCATCCCTGGCCTGAAACAAATCAACCAACTCTTGTATTAAACGAATTACTAATTCTTACTCCAAGGAGAAGAGAAGACAACAAATGATTGAACTGCAGAGGCAGATGCAAGAAGCAGAGAAAGATCAACAAGCGCTAGCTGCTGCGGCATCCAAACAACACAATGAGCTGATGGACAAAATACGAACGGTATAGTGATAAATTAATTTTATTAATGATATTTCTCAACAACTATTTGCTTATTGTTTAATATACTATTTATGTAATTTTTCCCGTTTTGTGATATCCGCCAAGGACGTAATCTGTTACACAGCCGTTTTTAGAGTCGTCACGCAACGCTCGTCCCCAGTGCGGGGAGGAGCGTTGCGTGACGACACTAAAAACGGCTGTGTAGCAGACTACCAAGGACGAGATTTCACTGAAAATTACAGAGAAAACTAGCCGTACATTGTATGTACATTTTATGTAACTGAATTGTAGGCTGAAGCGGAACTGGATGACCGCACTCTGTGGCAACAACAACAGCAAGAGCATGAACGACAAAAGATGGTGTCAGCTATGGCAGCAGGTATTTTACATCGTATTTTTGTGTCTACTTTAGCGGACGAATGTCATCACTGTGTTGGGTAGTACTACCCACTGTGTTCCTGTGATTAGTTGAAATCGAGGGTGGACACATTATCATCCTTTGGTGGCATTCTGGCATTTTCCTTGATTAATTTTCTTTGTACAAGTAATCAAAAGTTTTTTATAAATTGAAGAATGTGGGTCCCAGAATATGACTTCAAAAACTCCTTGTTGAAAGGTGTCTTTATCGTGGAGTTTTTTTGCTCTAATTGAGTCCCTTCTGCTTCATCTAACATTAATCAGCCATTTATTAATCATTTACTTTTAAAAGGACTGCACAATTCAGTCTGTTGTTCCATTAATAGTTAACTGTTAGATTGTTGTGTAACATCAGTAACAAAGTCGGGAGAAATTCAGGAAATTGGCGGCTATGTTACGAAACTTTTGCTGTTTTAGGTCAATTCTATGCTGCAGTCACTAGTTAGTACCTTCACCGGTGCACAAAATCCTCCAGCAGAGTTATGAAGAAGATACCAAACAAATTTCAGCAGGGAGCGCAAACTTAAAGAAATATATATAATATTAAATATAGTCTTAAATAACGAAACTGGACAATTATTTTGGAATTCAATCCATGCGATGACAAGTTTTTGCTTTTGAAAAAGATAGCAAGTAGCGTGTCATAGACCTAAAAAGTGGTATTTACTTGTACGTTTGAAACATTGTATTTTTGCGATTTTTCCTTCATGTCTTCATCTCTTCCGGGTGAATTGTTTTCAACTTTGAAATAACTACCATTTTCTTTTATTTTGTAGGTGAACAGCTAACTAATGACACAGTAGCAATGATTTTACAAGTTAACGAAAGGTAAAGCTGAGAAGATATGTTATACAATAACAAGTTTTTTAAAACCCTTATAGAAGCAAAGTTTAATATTACTTAGCTCTAAACAACTGTGGTACGTAAAACGTTCTTTGCTCTTTGTAGTAACCTGCATAGTTGGCGGAATTGTTTTTGCGTGTGTCCTCTACCAAAACTTTTCTCACACTAAATAACTATTCCGGTGGCCACGCAGGCTACATTTGTGGGGGCCACAGTATGGCTTGTACAAAATGTATATAATAGCGTACATTTTACGTCTTGTGGGTTCTCTTAGTAACGTGGTGATTTTCTTGACCTTTTTAGAGCTCAGAAGGCAGAAATGATCCTTGATGAATTGGAACAAGAAAGGTGCAATAAAAATCTTATTACAGTAAATACAAAATGTACGTTCGGTTGGCCTGGTCTAGCTGAAGATCCCGGGTGGAGAGGGGGGGTAACCCCTTGACATGCGTGTCCTGGCCTGCAATGTCGCCCTGAAAACATTATTGTTTAGCTCGGCTACCTACGCACTTTACAGCATGGATATACTTCACGTATTTTTCTCTGATATCGTTTAACCTTCAAATATCATTGCAACTGCTATATACACTAGTCTAAGGTACACGGAAAAATCCGAGTCCGCCCAAAGGGAATCGAACCCAGGATGCTCTACCCACTGATCTAGGAATGACTTATATGGTGAGCAGATCGTAGGCTTCGTTTCGATATAGGACCTCGCATCACGGGGGCACATTGGATGAAAGAAGAGTGAAACTCTGCCACTTTGTAACTCAGGAATTCCCTTCTTTAGAACCATTGTACATGTTTTAGTTTGCACTGATAATAACCATTAATCCTTTGTTTAACGCTTAGAATGAGAACTGAACAGCTGATTAAGGTGACCCAGGAAGAAGCTGAAAAACTCAGGAAGGAAGAAGTTTTAGGTTGGTTATTATATTCCCATTTGAATCTAATATCACCGTTTTTCTTTTACAATTGTCCGTATGAGGTGACGTCGAAGTGAAAAACGTACAAAACTGTGCTGGGTGCTGCATCGGTAATCGGGAGAGTTAGACTCGAAATAGAAAGTTTTGTTTGCTGAAGAAAGTACCATCAATAGGGGGATAAAAAGTGACACCTCGAGCGCCCCTTCGCAAAGCTATTCAAAGCGCTAGAAACGTTCTTGTCAACTCAGCTGATAAAAACAAACCTTGTGCGCCTAATGTGTAAGGTTTGACAATTATAGTTTATGACGAAAGTTAACATTTCATTCCTGTTTTTTCTTTTTTTTCTCTTTTTTGTTGTTGTGTTTTTTCGTTAGCTTCTATGGCTCGTCTTTTGGAAAGCCAAGAAAATCAAGGCCGACTTATAAGAGAATATGAACGGACAAGAGACATAGCTGCCAATCAAGCTATGAACGAGTGAGTTCAGACTAAAAATTTACTTTAAAAATGAAAGCACCAGTTAAAGCTTTTTCATGGTAAAAGTCATTCTTATTCTTTCAGCTTTCTGTTACAGCTTACTGGTTTTCATTTTGTGTAACTTAGTCCTCCAACTGAACACATTGACTGAATTTTGTTGGGAAGGGGTCAAGTTACACGTCCACACCTTAACAAAAAAATAGCTAGTCTCCCGCGCTTGGGGTGCTTTTAATTATTAGAATCCGGAATTGTTTATCGTTAGAAAATTCGGAATCGTTACCCCCTTCAACATGTATACCTTTTGTGAAGGAAACAGTCGTAAACACAAATCTGTGGTGTGAATGGGTCATAACATAGTTGATAAATTAATTTAGTTAAAATGAAATCTGAATTTATATGCTAAGAATTTTATGTTTCTGGTGGGTGTTGTTTGTGGCTTATTTTACTTTCCAACTGTAGCCCATACTCGTAATTTCGTTGCTATTCCCGTGTGTGTGTAACACAGTTATGATAAATCACTTGTATTGCATTTCAGATCTTTAGAAGCTGATTCTCGTATGCTTGGTATCTTGAATGAACAATATGATGACAGGGATGTGTTGATTTCTGAGATTTCCAAACAGGTCAGAGATAAGTGCCAACAGTTGAATGTCTACTCGTGTGTTATATTATTTTCTCTCATCGGCGGTGGCCTTTGCGCGCGGCCGCTTTGTAGACAGCATTTCCGAGTCGCTAGTGCGCTGGAGATACGATCCGGAAATCCCAAATTCAACTCCCTCCCTTACCGCTCACTGGATTTATATCTCGGCCGTCCCGAGCTTTTCAACTCATCGGCTACGCTTGTAAAGAGCTAACTGTTTTGCCTCAGGTCAAATGGGATTCTCAACTCCGTTATGTTTCGTGGAAATTTTTGTTTAACCCCACTACCTTTTAGCCTGCGCCACAGACGAGGTTAAATTACGTCTGCGACGAAGGCTAACTACGCATGTTTGATCTATTATCACCGCTGAGGGTAAATAAAGTCTGTTATATTATTATGCTATCAGAACTGTGGACACGTTCCTGAGGATGTGCGAGTAATTTCCGTCCTATCCGAACCTCTCCCGAGAGTGCCTTTTCGTAGAGGTTGTGCATTTTTCCGAGACCGTGGACTTTGTTTATGAAACTAAGGAATCTTAACGTTGAGTTTGAAATCTAAGTTACACAGTGGCGTATGCTTTCCTTTCCTTGTTATCCTCTTGCTGATAAGAGTATGAGATTTTTCCTTTACTTTGTATCTAACAGTCCCGTAAATGTTATGTGTATTCGTTTTAAAGGAACGAGCACAAATGGAAGCAATCCAAGCCCTTCAGCTCCAGACAGATGCAAAGCATCGTAGAATAACAAGCCAGGTAAGTCGGAGTAACACACTCTGCCCGGTACCAAATACTCTGTCTTTATCAGCGAGTCTTGGGCCCATGGTTTCCAGTATTGCGCGTCTTTTCTTGCATTGTCTCCAGTTGAATATTTGTTCTTTTTCTTCAGAAAACCGTGCGCATTTAATCGTTTTTCAGTGTGAAAATGTTCACTGAAATGAATAAAAGACAAAAGATAAGCAATGCATCACTGGATGCCAGAAAAAGATGGCCAGCTTACAAGACTTAATCATTCGTCCGCTGCCCAGTTTTACTCGCTTAAGTTGGGTATTGAATAATTTCAAATTGTGACTTGGATTTCAAAGCTTCATCGATACTTGCTATTATCTAAGGTATAAAATGATACGTTTTGTGATTTCTCTGCAGATCTCCATGCTACAGGATGAACTTTCGCGGTTGACTTTAACAGAACTGGACAAGAGAGAAGAACGACAAGATGTTGAGAGGGTATGTAATTTAGTTTTTCATTCTTCCGTTAAGATCTGAAACCAGAAAGGTCGTCCTTGAATGGAAACAACCAAGAGGATTTTGACTTATTCCTTCAGTAGACGCGTTGTTCTTACTTTGATTGAGTTTACACTGAGGTCGGACATAAGCAGAAAGTGAACACCACTATCAATGATAAAATGACGAGATTGCAATTGTTACGGTTTTAAAGCCATTCGTCCGTTTTAGTTGGTTTATTTTTTAGTTTTCGACTGTGTACTTGCTGTATTTATATCGTTTTCTACGTTGATGACAAATGAAAAATGTGGATTTGAGAAAAGGAAAGCGCACGAGGTGTTTAGGAAATGAGTGGGTTCTGTGGGTACGTGAAGGAAAAATAACTGCAAACTCCTTGGAGTTTGTGGTGGTATTTGCCAACGAGTCACCCTCGCGAGGACGCGAGGGTGACGAGGCGGCAGCATCATAAATCCGACGCGCGAGTTAGTTTTGGTACAGGGAGAAAAAATCTCGAATCAAAATGTAAGCATAAGGTAATGTAAGAGTGACATCATCGGTCATTGTTTTCGAGCTAGCCAATGGCATCGTGGTATTTTTTAATCTAAACCAATCACATCAGGACGATCATGACCGGTGACCACATGACCAACATCAGATGACCACATTAACCTCGTGGGCATTTTCTGGTGTATCCCGGCATCTCCTGTTCGTGTTGGGCATCGTGCGACTTGCGAGGTGATCAATTACCAGGCAGGAAAAGGTGAGTGGAAATATTGATTTTATTCACTCGTGAGCGTTGTCTTCTTGGGTGCATTTTAATTAAGTGTTTTTTGGATCCGGGGTCGCAAATCTAGCAACTAGCAGACTGAAAAATCGCCCAGCGAGGCTAAAATCGCCCAGCGAGGCAGTTATCGAGAGCAGCTCGAAAACGGCGAGTGACAGTGTCACAGTCACGGCGAGCTTGCCAAAACAGTCAATTGTCTTGACCAGATCGGCCAGCGTGCCATTTAAGAAACAAAAAAACAAAACCACTTGAATATATTCACTATAAACTCAATCAGAGGGCGTATAAAGCCTCTTTTTATCGAGCTAGTGTGCTCAGTGCTCAAAATTACAAATTTTGATCGACCAACGAGACACGAGTCACATGGCGTGTCGCTGTTAGTTGTGCGCTTTTTTCTGCTTATCCATTAGCGTGTCCGAAAGTGAAAAACAGTCTAAGCTCTGTTTGCCGGGAAGCCACTATCAGTCAAGCTTGAGGGAGCTTAGCAAATCAGTTTGGATAGTTTTTTTTATTCCAAAATTGTAGGGTGCTTAGCTTCGTTTGAAATCAGAACTGCTCAGGTCCAAAGTACACTTGCTGAAGCGCGTGCACTGAAGTAACAGCTCACGAGAATTTATGATGCTTCGTCTATTGTGTGTGTTATTAGTCGTAAGTCATTATCAGGGCCATAGTGGTGAGACTAATTTCAATTTTCCACGTGGATATCAAAATGTAACCATTTTCAGATTCCGAGGAAGATATTTGTCTAGACGTATACCTTATCCTTCTAATGGTAGTTTTAATCCCTTTGCAATTTCTAATAAAGAAGCACACATATTAAATGGAAACATAAATAACTTGGAAGCTGCAAAAAAAATGTGTGAGGAAAACAGCTATTCATTTGGTAGAGATCACTTCAGTAATTATTGTTTAAACAATGCAGGTAAATTTTCCTGTGCAGTTGATTGTTTTCTCGAGCTGTGTTATGGTGTTTTTGTAATCATCTTCATAGCACTACACGAAATGAGTTTTTTGACGTTATCTATGAGTCATGTAATCAAAGAGAAAACCTTGGGGCTATTGACATTGTGCGAGAACCTGTGTGGTTATGGCTCAGAGATCATTGTTCATCATTTTCTGCAATGACTGCCAATGCTGTTTTTAGTGACATATTTACATTGAATACTGTCGGAGAGTTAAGTGAGGACCTCAAGTCATTGTTTGTTGTTCAGCAATGCAATCAGTCGTGTTGCGCATCATGTGGCAACCAAATCATATATAAGACAGGTATATTTGTTCTTTACATTACCTGCCCAAATATCATTTCCACGCAATTTGCAAATCATGTTTCAGAAGCTGTTCTTCCTCACAGTAGGGCTCTTTATTGTGAATCTTGCCAAAAACACAGTGGTGATGTTTCTGCATTGCGACATTTTGTAACACTTCCCACATTTTTAACTATTGAATTGTCATCCAATTGTATTGATCAAATTACATTTCCTTTAACTATGGACGTTTTAGAAAATTATTATTCACTGAAAGCTGTTGTGCGTTCTGCAAGTCAACATTTTACTATCGCTATAAATAAAGGAACACATTGGTTGTATTTTGATGATATCTGCAGATCAATTCAGCAATATTCCACTTTTCAAAACCTCTTGATTGCCCATGCCAATGGCTGGTATTTTGCTGTCTATGAAAAGTCTGCCATTCCATTCATTGATAGCGGTAATGCACATGCAGCTGTGAACCAATCTAAGTACACCCAAGAATACCTCACAGGACATTCAGTGCCAAAAGTACTCATTAATGATACTTTAACAGTGCCATCAAACAAACACATTGCACAAGCAAAACAAAATGCATACATGAAAGAATATCGAAAGAAAAGAAAAAGTAATGAAACTGCAGAAGAACAACTTGCCAAAAAAAACAAAAGCAAAATGCTTACATGAAAGAGTACAGAAGGAGAAAGAAAAATAATGAATCTCAAAGTGAGACGCTTGCTAGACAAGGAAAGCAAAATATATACATGAGGGAATACAACAGGAGAAAGAAAAACATTGAAACTGATACCAAAAAATTTGCAACGGAAGAAAAACAAAATACAAACATGAAGGAAAATCATGAAAAAAGTGAAAAACAACTTGGCCTAAAACAGAAGAAAAATGCTTACATGAAAGAGTACAGAAGGAGAAAGAAAAACAATGAATTTCATAGTGAGAAACTTACTACACGACGAAAGCAAAATATATACATGAAGGAATACAACAACAGAAAGAAAGACGTTGCAACTGGTAGCAAAACAATTTCAAGAGAAGAAGAACAAAATACAGTAATGAAAGAAGATCATGCAAAAAGTGTTCATGGTGATTTTAAAATGCAAGCAAAACTTATTAGAGAAGAAAAACAAAATACAGACATCATGGAAAATCATGCAAAAAGTGTTAACAGTGATTTTAAAATGCAAGCAGATCAAAATGTATTTAAATGTTTTGTGGAGAAGGAAAAATATTTGTCTTTGTTTGATAGTCAAACAAATGGACCAATTCATTTACAGGAATGGGCTAAAAAAAACATGCGAGATTTCCATAATTCTTTGAAATTCAAAATCTATAAATGCAACATCTGCCATGAAGCATGGCCATTGTCAGAAAAATGTAAAGATGAATCTACATATGTGTGCTCTAGGTGTTTGCGTGACAAGAATGCAACAAAAAAGTTTTCAGTTGACAATAATATGATACCTTCACAAGCACCAAAAGAACTGCAGGGACTCACGCAATTAGAAGAAATGCTTATAGCACGTGTATTTCCAGTAATATCTGTTTATACAAAACCAGGGGGCAAAAAGGCATACAAAGGCCACTGTATTAATTTTTCCCAAGATATTCAAGAGCTAGCTAACTCATTGCCAAGGTATCCGAGGGAGCTGCCTGTGATAGTTGTGTCAGTCAAAGGCAAAGATAATACTTATAAAGATCTTACAGTAAGGCGGGAAAAAGTGAGCTGTGCTCTACACTGGTTAGTCCAGCATAACCCTGTATACAAAAATATTACTATAGATTATGACTGCTTGTCTTCCTTGCCATCTGAAGGCATCCCAAGTGAACTGCATCAGATTGATTGTATTGAGAATACTAAAGATAAGGAAATGGATCCAGACAGAGGTCCACTTGATGTCAATGAAATACCATTCAATGAAGAGACAGAATTAAGCAGCACAATCCTTAATCCAGTAACCTTAAAGCCTCAAAAGCAACTTATTACAGATCAGTTATTGCAAAAGCATAAATTAAATTGGCCACACAGAGACGCAAGCCCTCTGAATGAATTTAAGATCGAATTTCTAGCAACAATGGCATTTCCCACCCTATTTCCTGATGCTAAAGGAGACCCTACAAACACTGCTATAAAGCGGGGTGCAACTTTAGGAGAGAAAATAAAGCATCTAATTAAATTTGCTGAATATTCTAATGATGAGTGGACTTATAGGTTTGCAAGCCATCCACGATTTGCATATTGGGCTTTTAATATGATTCAGAGGCATAGACTTCTTAGTCAAGGGAGTATTTTTTGAAACAAAACCCTAGCGATGCAAAACTAACTGTGGAACAACTTAAACAGATGCTTCAGTCAAATAATCATTCAACTTTAATGTCTAAACTTATGCATTATGCTAAAAATATAACTGGTAGCAATAGCTATTGGCACAAAGCAAAAGAGGATTTAAGGGCTACCGTTGCTCAAGTAGGACCTCCTACAATTTTTTTTTTTTACCTTGTCTTGTGCAGAGTACCATTGGCCAGAATTTCATAATCTTCTAAGTAATGACCACTGTGGAGATATCACACCAAAATTGAGACAGAAACATGTTATTGACAATCCACATCTCATTGACTGGTTTTTCACTGAGCGAACTGATCGGTTTGTGAAGTTTTGGCTGAATAAATCATTACAGGCATCTTGGTATTGGTACCGATATGAATATGCTGTTCAGAGGGGATCGATTCATTGTCACGGAGTTGCAAAATTGCAGAATGATCCAGGGCTTTGTGAACTTACAGCAGTTGCACTGCAGGGTTTTTTGGCATCAAAATATATCAAAGAACACCAAGCAAATATATCAATTGAAGAACTACAAGAACTGAAAAATAAGGAGAAAAGGGGGGAAAATGCTGAGGCAACTGTTTGCCAATATGTCAATTTTTTATTAACGACATGGAATCCTTGTTCTCCAGATGAAGGTTGGTCCAAGCCAAATTCTCATCCATGTCAAACACCATATCTTTCCTTAAAAAGAAGAGAAAATGGAAGATGACTATGTGAATCTATTGAATTCTGTTCAAAGGCATACGTTGTGTAGTACTAAGTATTGCCTTAGGGAAAAAGACGGTTGCGAATTATGCTGCAGGTTTAATTTTCCATTTGATAACTGTAAAAAAAACAAGGATAGATTTTGAACCTGTCCATACAAAATCAGGTCAACCAAAGTATAAAGCAGTTATTGTTACTAAACGAAATGACTCAAGATTAAATCGTCATCAACCATTGCAGCTTCAAGGATGGAGGGCAAATTGTGATATCCAAATTATTGTGGATTACCAGGCATGTTTAGAATATCTTGTTAAGTACACATCCAAAGGGGAAAAAGCATCTTCCGTTGTTAATAATGCATTCACCACTATTGTTCAGAAGCTTTCAGACACAAGTGACATTCATAACACATTTAAGCAGATAATGATCAAATCTGTAGGACAAAGGGACTATTCAATTCAAGAGGTCATGCATCATTTACTCTCTCTTAAGTGTGTAAGTGCTACTTATGAAGTAATAAATGCATCTCTAGATGGCTCAAGAAGAATTCAAATTGTAAGAGATAAGGAATATTGTACTGCCCCATCCATGCTCGATATATATGCTGAGCGAAGGAAATACATGAAAACATTTCCAAGTATACTAGAATGCAACTTTGTACAGTTTACATCTACATATATTAATAAAGGTTCAAAACTAGAGAAAAGAAAACGACCAGTAATTGTTAAAACATATCCAAACTATTCATCAAATCCTCAAAATCAGCATTATGGGCTTTTTTGTAAATATCAACTACTTAAGTATAAACCTTGGGAGCATACACCAGATGATGCCTGGAGTAATGCTGAACACTGTAATGAAACATTCAAAACATGTTGGATGAATTTTCTCTGTAGTAACAATGGAAAGGCTGTAGTTCCTGACTGGGAAATCAAGTTACAAGCCTTAAAGGAATCTATTAAGCTAGAAACTGACAATTTTACAACAGAAAATGATGAAGAAGAGGAAAAGGAAGAATGGATGTTAATGTCTGAGTTGAATATTCAAAACATTACTAATGATGCACAAAGTTCTGTCTTAGCTCCTGAGGGATATTGGCACAATGTTACTGAACACTTTGATGAAGAGCAACTAAATTCTGTAGTATCTTGGTTAGCGAATCAAAAATCTATGAATAATCCTCAGTGGCAAATGCCAACAAGGATAGTAGATATTTCAAGCTTTAGTACAAACCAAAGATTGGCATACAACGTAGTTTGTGATCACTTTAACAGAAGTGACAAAGAACCTATACTTCTCCTAATTAAAGGTATTGCAGGGTCAGGGAAAAGCTATCTCATTGACGCCATTAGAAATGTACTCCAAACACAATGCAAGGTGCTAGCGTACACTGGAAAAGCATCTTTTAATGTGAATGGTGTAACTTTGCATTCATTTCTCAAATTGCCAATTGGCTCAAAAAGACTCACTGAACTAAAAGGAATAGCACTACAACAGCTTCAAAGTAATGTAGAAAATCTTCGGTATTTGATAATAGATGAATACTCTTTGGTTGGTCAGAGTTTGCTTGGCTGGATAGATTCTAGATGCCGACAAGCTACAGGCCTGGCAAATCAGAGTTTTGGTGGTCTTTCGGTTATTGTTGTGGGTGATATAGCACAGTTACCCCCTGTTGGTGATAAACCACTTTACCATTCAATGCCCAAAACAGATAAGCAGATTCAGGGTCATCTCATGTATCAACAGTTTAACAAAGTAGTTGCATTGACAGTTAACCACAGAGTTGATGGTAACAGTAGTGAGCAGCACCTTTTTAGGGATCTTCTTCTCAGAGCACGTAATGGTGAATCCACACCAGCTGATTGGCATACATTACTGTCAAGAACTCCAGACCGTGTATCAAATATCCAGGAATTTGAAATGTCATCAATAAGACTATCCTATCTCAAGTCTAGTGTTGCAGAGATAAACATAGCCAAGTTAAAAGCTCTTAATCAACCAATAGCAACTATAAAAGCTCGTCACTCTGGTGGTGCTCAGAACCTTAGCTCAGATGAAATGGGAGGCCTAGAGCCTGTGATTTACTTAGCAAAAGGAGCGAGAGTAATGCTCACTATGAACATCTGGACTGAAGTTGGACTTTGTAATGGAGCCCTAGGGACAGTATTAGATTTTGTTTATCCACATGACCAGACTCCCCGACGCTACCAATTTGTGTTCTTGTACAGTTTGACGACGATTATAATGGCCCTACTCTTTCTGCTAGATTTCCAAGATGTGTTCCAATTTGTCCAATAACACAGGTTTCTCAAAACCTAGGTCAAAAATGTGAAAGACAGCAATTACCCCTAAAGTTAGCATGGGCAATCACTATACACAAGAGTCAAGGTTTAACGCTAAAGAAAGCCTGGGTTGATCTTGGTCCTTCAGAAAAATCTTCAGGAATGACATATGTTGCACTAAGTAGAGTTAAGAAACTTGAAGACCTAATGGTAGAACCCATGACCCTGGATAGACTGCAAGCACCCAAAAAAATGTGCAATTTAAATTACAGACTTAAAGAAGAAGAGCGGCTGGATGGTTTAGCCCAAGATACTTTGGACAGTTTATTGTAGAATCCTATTGCCCTAAATATATTAAACATCCAAACCAGATAAAACCACTTTTAACAATTAGAGTTTGATTAACCAGATGTGAGCCTTGATTCAAGATAATGTAAAGGATACAGATTTTAACTTGAAATAATGGCATAAATTGAGTGGAAAACTGCTACAATGTACATAACCTTTATTTAGAATTTTTATTTTTGTTACAGATTCTTTGTGGAAAGAATGTCAAAGCGTGAGCCAGACCTTAACTCGGGTAAGTATTATGATTATGGGGGAAGAACAGTAGATCAGAATGCAAGGAAAATGGTGAATAGGTACTAAACACAGAGACTACAGTGATTTGTTGCCTATTTAACATGAATCTTTTGATTTTTTCCTTAGAATCACTCTGTGGCTTTATACATAATTTAAGCCCTGTAAAACGCTCAAAAGAGAACGGATTGGTTTGAGTTTCATCTGCAAACAAGTCCTTCCAAAGTACAGCGAGTAGTTGGATTTAATATCCCAAGCCACTCAACCTTCAGTGGACATAACAAATCAAAAACCCTGTGCTGCTGTCAAATACTAAGAAGAATGATTCGAACAAGGACATTATCTTCAACCAACAGTCAATTGTAAGGTCTGCACCAGCGTTCGACATTGACTTTGATTATTCTCCAGACATTGCTGCATCTGAGTCATCCTCCTCTTCAGTGCAACCTGCTACTACGATCACTCTGGAACAGGTACCAACTCTAAAGATAAACCAGAAGGTCAACGTCACAGCAACGATTTCATTGGGCAGTGAACAACCTAAGCCGGTTGAAGTGAAATCCACACAAAAGATAACGCTCGTCAAAGAGGATTGTGTCTTAGAAGATGAGACAGGTACAGCTGAAATTCACATTTGGGATGAGCTCATCAACAACGTGAAAAATGGGACAACATATGAATTCCAAAACCTGAACGTCAAGCACTTCAAAGGAAGCACCCACTTAGCAACGACACCAGCAACTACCTTCAAGGAAGCCAGCAAACAACTTAAATCTGTGCAAGGGCCTACACTACTGGAAAACCCAGAAAAAGAAGTTAAAGTCGAGATGTTCAAGTTTCTTAACAACCTAAGCATATTCGTTGCTTGTCAAGCTTGTAAGAGGAAGATAACAGAGAGTGCCCATCAGAAGTACATAAAATGCAGGAACTGCGGAGTAAGGCAGCGTCAAGGCGAATGCAAGAGAGATGCATCTGTGCAAGTCAAAGTAGAAATAGCTGGAAAGGAAATATGGCTGACAGCGTTCACAAAAGAAATTGAAAGTCTTCTGGCTCTGTCTCCAGAGCTTTCCCTTATGAGTGACTCAGAATCTATTGAAGACCACCTTATGGACCTCAAGGATATCCACTTCACCTATAATGTGAACAAAAACACCATAACCCAGGTGACATCTCTTTCAAATGGACTGGCGCAATGACACTATGGAACGATTGATTAATGGGCTATCTTGGCATGAAACTACTTACTATGTAAACTACGTTCAAAGTTGCCTTCTAAAATCATGTTAAAACACGAACATGAAACATTTTAAAAACAAAGAAATCATGTGAGATATGCATTTTTATCTCTGTTACAAGTTCAGTTCTTAAAGACATTTCAAAAAAACAAGGATTTGCATTTGGAATCTACTTTACAAGTTTCGTTTTTAAAAACATTCTAAAGGACGAAGAAAAGCATCTCAGATTTGCATTTGTAATTTACGTTACAAGTTTTGGTATTAAAGACATTTGACACATTTCAATTCATGCTCATTTGTCTCAGGTAATGCAAGGGCTACATATATTTCAGCTCTAATCTGCCTTACAAGTTTAGTTCTTACGGACATTCTAAACAACAAAGAATAGCATGTGCGTTTTGCAATGCTTTTTTAAACAATCATTCAATTTGAAAAAAATGTTCTGTAGTCTGGTTACTTCTTCATTTTCATTCGGCAAGCAACTGTCGCCGTTTTTACTCGTTGGCACTCTAGCGCCAGCTATTTCTAGTTTTAATTCCAAAACTTCTGCGTCGTATACAACGGGCAGAATTTTATTCTCACTACTTTCGATATAGCAATATGATCGAATGGATTATATTGTACATAGTCCACATTTGTAGTACGTTCTCTGTTTTCGCGCTCTTGTTGCTACAAGAATACCGCCCACCATGATTAACATGATTTCTATGTAACACTCACTGTTTGTTTTAGACGGTGCTGGAGTCCAAGAGAGAAGCTCTCACTGGGCTCCTTGTTCAGCTGGTAGGCGAACAACAAAAACGAGAAGATGAACTCATGAAGAGGCTTGTAAGTGTTGTATTTATCCGCAGAACCAAAAGTTGCAAACATTCTATGTTAAATCAACAAGACTAAAATAAAAGCCATCATTGCTAGTACTTAGAGTTTCAAAGAACTCCTATTCTGTGGCTTTCATTTAAGTGGTACCCTTTCAGAAGTCATTGACACTGAAATAGAACCATCTAATGCTGTATCAACGGTTGAATGAGGTGCATAAAAATGTTAATAGTAAAGTACATGCTCGGAGAAAGTTTGCAGACTACCTTACCAAGTTAGGCACAATGTGCTGCTCAGCAGCTTTCACTTGAGAGAATTTTATCCACAGACGCAGTAGTTAGAACTTTCTTGATATTTGATTCTTGGTTCAAATATTTAGGGGATTTTTCGACCTCTCTTCGTACTAAAACCCGAATTCAACGCTTATTTATCTTACATTGTTTCTCTGGTAGGTTGAGATGGAACACAAAAGGGAAGCGGATATCGAAGACTATTGGCTGATTCAATATCAGAGGTTACTCGAGAGTAAACCGCAAACTTTACTTGAGAAGGTACCTATTCAACATTATAACAGCTCATTTCTGAACAGTATGTTAAACATACATAGCTAGCTTGATCGTGGCCAAACGACGAAGAGGGCTTTGCAGAACAGTGTAACTAGGGGCTGGGAACCTGCGAATACAATCTCTCTTATCGCTCAACTCCTTGATCAGTGATTTAAGACGACTGAATTCAAAGGTTAAGTTAGAAACGAGGTTACGCCAAGTAACAATTAAAATATTTTGGAAAGGCCAAAACTCATCGATGTGGTTTTTTGTCCTACAGGGACAAAATGAGGGTAATTTTAGACCCCGTTTGAACGGGTCCGGACAAATTTTTGAACGAACAAAAACTTGCACGGATCCACCTTTCGTAAACGGGACCCGAGGCACAGTGCAAATTTTTGAACGGCGAACAGTACAGCAATCTGTAGCAGAATTTGCTGCAATCCGCGTAAACGGGTTGCACAGGTCAAAAATTCGTCCGGGCACGTGCAAACGGGGTCTTAGAGAGAGATCGGTCACGTGGAGTATACAGCAGCGAATGACAGGAGGACCAATATCGCGTGACCGGAACCCGCCGCTGATGTGTGAAAAATCCTATTAATACTTTCAATATTTCTAATAAAGTGTTGTTCTTAAACTTAATCTTACAGCAATGTGACAGTAATATTTACGACATACTTGCCGAAGCAGAAGCACAGGACTACGCAGCTCACTTCGCGCGCCATCGTGTCACGTGGGAAATGCTTAAAACCATGACAGACAGTGAACTTAAAGAGGTATAAGTAAAGGGCGGCATGAGTCAGTATAGACAATTTCATTTCCAGTCTGACCAAAACACACGGCGTCAAAAGTCAACATACTAATACGGGGCTAATACGAAGGTTTTGATAAGAAAAAATGGACCAATGTATGCATAGTTAGTCCTTAAAAAGCGCTTTGCGGCTGCTATGGTAGGGTAGTAAAACGCCAATAGTAAGTTTCCTCTGAATGATTTGTTTATGAAAATTGTCTTTTGTTTCTCGTGACGTATATTGGTTAGACTGTTCGTAGTCCCCTTCTTTTCTGTAAGATCGTCGGGATCCAGAACCTACCCTTAGGGCGTCTATCTTGGTTTTATATGTGCCGAGTATAGCCTGTGCATGAGTATGAAATCTGCTAAGTTTCTCTACTTTTCTCGCCTCTCTCCGCTCACCGCTCGGTACATTTAAAACCAAAATGGCCGCCCGTAACACAAAGCGCTCGATATTGACGATTATAGGGAAAAATAGGGGACTTTGAACAGCCTTTGTGTCGGAACGAAACCGAACGATGACCTCTCCGTTTTTGAAGAGGACGAATGTTCCCTTTTTTGTCTTGTTGTTTTTTCTTCGTTTCAGTTTTGAAAGGTTACACACAGTTGAAAAAGCGTAACAAACTTTGGTTGTTTTCATTTTTAGCTGGGTATTCACGAGCTGGGAGTTCGTAAGGCAATACTAAGTGTGGTCCAGGAGCGTCTACGTTTTGACGTCAAAGCCAAAGAGAAAGAGCGAGAAATTGAAACACCTGCAGAGGTACGTAATGTAATTCGGATCAGAGTAAATTATAAACCTTCTGCGCGGCGAGAAGGTTTTATACAAGAATGTGAAATTGGATTTTAGTTTCACAGTTAGCATTCTCAGCGGGAACGTTTTGTTGTTCTCATCCTAGCGGTAAACAAATCGTGAATTCTTGTTATGGTTTGTGAATTGAACATTGTTTCATTCTTGTAATGTTTTGTGTTGTTTCTCTTTTCTCGTTGTTTCTTGTTTTTCTTAACCGTTATTGTAATTTAAGTGGTTTATTTTGGGTATTTACAGGCGCCCGTGCCCTCTCCAGCCCCTCCTGCCCCGATTCCAACACAACCCACAGCAACAGCACCTGTAATAGAGCACCAAGATATGACCACAGAATGTGTAGTTTGCATGGATCGAAGGGTAAGATTGTAGCAGCCGTCACTATCAGTATAACCATGTTCAATATATTTATTAACCTCCGTAACGCACTATAACACTGCCTGTGAGTGCAATCATCCTCAAAGGTACCTTATATGGAAGTTCACGATTTTCCGTAAGTAAATCTAAAATCAATCTATTTAATTCTTAGCCTGAAATTCATCCGATTGCTTCGAGTCGTTTTCTCCACTCAACAACTGAGGTTACTGAGGGAGTAATAATGACTCGAAGTAATCGGATGAAATTCAGGCTATTTAATTCTAAACGAAAGTTTATAGCGAAGTCAGTCAATTCAGCTATTCAAACCTATCGCCCAGAATGCTATTGTCTCTCTCTGCATGTACTTACAGTTGCCAGTTTATCAAAAGGCCGCATAACATAAACTGAGTTGAAGAAAGTAACTTAAGTCGCCAGGTAAAGATGGTGCTGGAGAGTTTGAACTGAGTTTAGACTCGTCTTTGAAACCAACCAGCAGTTATTTGTCGGTTCAGGTCTCCTCTTTCCGGTGTATTTGAACCTCAGCAACATTAACCGAAGAATCCGTACTGCACTGTACTATTTACTAACTCGATCTTTAACTCGTTGACCTTTTATTCCTGAGTATTTGACTTGTGGTTTTTCTCTATCAGGCTGATGTGGTGTTGCTGAATTGTGGACACGTTTGTTGCTGTTTCAATTGTTCCACTTCATTGTCCAATTGTCCCATGTGCCGTAACCCTGTGGTACAGCGTGTTCGGATATTCCTCTCCTAATTGCTACCAGTCTACAGCATTGCACTTCACCTGCGTCGTACACTTCGTCGAAAAAGCGCGCGGGAAAACAGGAAGGTCGCGCAACCTCTTCATTGAGGGCTTTTCCCTCAGGTTTCTGTGGGGAAAGCCCTGGAAACTAGGTTGGAAGAAAAGAAAAGAATCCAGCATTTCAGTTTGTCAAATTATTGTGGTTAGTCGATACCATTTGCTAGAACCGATACTCTTACTATTTCTCAGACGGTATTCGACATCGATACCATGAAGTCATTATTGAAAAATTTTAGAAGTATACCAAAGGATAAATCTAAAAGAAACAGTGCTTAAACCAGATCAGTTCCTTTAGGGCAATTTACCCCTTCTCCAAATTGTGCTTTCCGTATGAAAATAAAGATGGCTTTTGGTCTCGTTGATCCATCCCGACAAAGAACTGGTCGTGCGAAAAGTACATAATACAAACACAAATTATTAAATAAGCCTTTTGCTGGGCTTTCACTAACATTTCAC